GGGGGGGGGGGGGTGCTGGCTGCAGAAGCCAGAAGGAGAAAGGAGGTGCAGGCACAGGACCTCCACCCCCATCCCCATCCCCATGTTATTCCATCCCATTCCATACCAACCCATGCCCTTCCCATCCTCATCGTCTGCATGCCAACGATATTTCAGCCCAGGGCCTGACCGGAAGGTCTCTCAGGCAATTTCGCCAGTTTCTTTCGTCGCGGGCAGGAAGGGCTCACCGGGCAGTAGGCTAAAACCTAATGTCTCAGAGTTGCTTGGGGGCAAATTCTATGCCCAAAGTGAGCCAGAATATGTGAAAAGTTGGCTACAGCTAGACTGTTTCACATCTGACTATGACCATTCCAATCATAATGCTTGTTCCTAAAAAAACAACCTCTGAAAATTCATACTTTCTCAATCTTGAGAGCATTTTCAATAAGAGCTCAAAGATTTTGGTACTTCAAGTTATATGTAACCAATTAAAGACATTAAAGAAAAAGAATAAAAATAAATAAATAAATCTCATATCTTATTTATTAGTTGTAATAAATTTGTACTTAAAGCATAAGATTCTTCTAGTTAGAATTATATTACTATATATATATATATTTTTTTTTCTTTGAAGTATCTAATTATATATTTTAACTACTATAATAAATATTTTAAAATGACTAATTTATATTACATAATAAGTATTGCATGTGAATTATGTATGTGTATCATTTTCTATGACATTCATATAATTGAAAATCTAGTAATATTTATCCACTTTTTATATCAAGTCTATTAAGTAAACACAATACAAGATTGGTGTAGAAAAAAAAAAAAAAAAAAAAAAACTGTCTTTAAATCTTCATCTATTGCTTCAATTTCTTTATTTCACTTAAGTTTGTTTTTACAAGCCAAATATCTAAATAGAGTTCCAAGTTGAAAATTTTCTTAATAAAGATCCAATAATAGTTGACAAATCTCAAAAAACATTAAACATCTCTTACTATTTTTGAAATCTTTTAATCCATGATAGTTTGAATTTTCTAAGAATCTATTACAAGGCCATCATTTAAAATCATATATCCTAAGAAATCAACTTGTGTAGTGTGGAATACATTATTTTCCATCTAAATGTATAGTTCTATATGTCTAAGTTATTGTAACAAATATAAAGTTTAGATTCTTTTATGTTTTTAGATTAGATTAAGATGTCATTTAAATAACAAACAACAAAACTATTAAGAAATATCTCATCATTTATAAGATATTGAAAAGCATTTGATGCATTTGTGAGTCCAAAAGGCATGACATTATGTTTGAAATGTCTATGTCTAGTTTGAAATGCAATCTTCAATTTATTTCTTTCTTTGATGTATACCAAGTTGTATGTTCCTAATAGATTTATTTTTGTACAGATCTTGACTTAATACAATTGATCAAGAAGTCATGATATTAAAGATATATAATACTTATTCTTCATGGTGATCTTGTTGAATCTTCAATAATTCACATACATCCACATTCATCAATTTTTTTCTTCACAAATAAGATAAGAGCTCTTGTTAGAGATTTTGAATGGAGTATAAAGTTTAAACTAGATTCTTATTAATGTACTCTTAAAATGCAACCAAATTATTCTATAATAAGCTATAAATTGGTCCAAATAACTATTGAATTCTTTCTTAAAGTTTAATTGAGGAAACATAAGAAAAATGTTCTTGAATAATATCAACATTATCTTAGATGTATTAGACTTATGACTTTCTATTCAAATAATAGAAATTTAAATTATAGTATTAAAAAAATAAGTATTTGAAGAAATCCAATCTATTTTTAAATTATATTTTTTAAAATATTATAAATAAAAAATAACTATATTAGAGAGATATTTCATAATATTAAATATTACTAAGCTATTATGACTATTAGTTTTTATATCTAAATAAATAATTTTATAGATAACATCTCCAAAAGATAATAAATAATCATCTATGATTTCTACATATATAAAATTAATTTTTTTAACTTAAGATGTTTCTTGATTTTTAATAAAATCTATATCTATGAAATAAATTAAGGCTCTTGAATCTAAGAAGGCGTAGGCTTTGTAATTCTTTTGTCCTAAATATACATCTATTATAAAATGAAATGAAGGATCTTATGCCAAGGACACAAACTAAAAGAAGATGCACAAAGTCGTAGAATCTGTGTCAAAAAGAAAGTGAAAAAATAGAAGAAAGAATGTACATTCAAAGAAGAACTAGAATGGCTATTGTCAAAGACTAGAAAACATAAGACTCTTGAAACTAAAATAAAAAGCAAGAAAGAAATTGACAAGAGTGAAGAAGGCCTCACTCTTGCCTCTATATATACTACTTAACTAAGAAATACATGGCGACATGCTATAAGACCTCTAATATGCATCGAATTTGCAAGACACATGTCTAATTTGCAAGGTAAGTTTTCTAGGTGTGCACCATATATCCAACTTGTACTACAAGTGTTCAACATGTCAACATGTGGCCTCCTTGTTGGCCAAGTTTTCAACCTATCAATCACCTATAGATATGTATAAAGGAAAAACAACATCTATGAATCTTCTAAGAAGCTTTTTATAAGCTATTATCATATTTATTTATTTTGACTTATTTTTAATTATTCTTATTATCTAAATAATTATCAAGATAAATATGTATGTCTATGACATTATCCCTCTTTTTAGGGACGAGTTTTACAAGGAGTAGTGATTATATGCTGATGAAGTCCAAGATGCACCAAACTGTATTTGTCAAGTACTTTGATCTTTGTTTCCTTTAAAGGTAGTTGATAGGTTCTTTCAACCATTGATAATGTTTCATACTAGGGCGAGAAGACCACCCTGATATTTGATCATTATTGAAGCCTTCATAACTTCTTTCAAACAAAATATTAGTAATACCATCAAGAGTGGTTCCTACCTCCAAAAGTATTATTAAACATTGAGAATTCATTCCAAGGTCATGGTATCAAATACGTTGTATCTCGCCATCTATTAAACAAAGAACATGTCATTCTTGAGGATCTTCATTTCAATTTTGCCGTCTTGAAGGTTGTGATAGTCATAATGTCTAGTCTGGTGGCTCAACAAATGATAGCTCTTGAATTGAATCTGCTGGTTATTGGTTCTCTATCTTCTAAGTATTAAAAAATCCAAAGAAAAAATTATTCAAGATATAATGAAATCTCCATTGGGCTTGTTTTGCTTTATAGCAAAGATTTTTTTGACTCTTCATCTTGGTTTTGTCACGGACACAGAAATACAGACTCGAGATCTAACAAGAGGTTCAAGAAGAATTGTCACGGATACAGAAATACAGACTCGAGATCTAACAAGAAGTTCAAGGAGAATTGTCATGGATATAGAAATACAGACTCGAGATCTAACAAGAAATTCAAGAAGAACTAGCAAGAACTAGATTAATTAGATGAATACAAGAACAATACCAAAGAGGTGAGCTAGAGCTCCAAGAGATGTGTTGTCAAGACTGAAGAACTCTTCAACCTCGATTCCAATATATACTCCTATTTAAGAAGCTTCTCAAGCGACTTCTACCAACTAGGAAGCTTCTAGACACTTGCTTCTAGAAGGTTCTAAGGACTATGTCCCTAACATCTTCTACTAACTAGGAAGCTTCTAGAAGGTTCCAGAGACTTGCTTCTAGAAGGTTCTAGAAACTTGTCTCAAGAAGGTTCTAAGGACTATGTCCCTAACATCACCCCCTCCTTTAGCTTCGAGGTCTCTGAGAAGCAATGTTGTTGTTAATCAATACCAACGCAAGAAAATAAAGATCTATCGCATAACGCCTGCTATGAACTCCAACTGTTGTTCACGAGGCAAGTGGTTCATTGGCCCTTGAAGCCAACGGTAGTGGCCCACTCCTTCGACTTCTGACCAAACATGAACT